AGTTATTTTTAAAATAATGACTTATGTCATAAATTTATTAATAAAATTTATTAAGATAAATTATATAAAAATTTTATTAGAATAAATTAAAATTAGCTTATGAGAATTATAAGTTATTTTTTATAAATTATTCACGAGTTCTTTAAAACAAGCACTAAAAGTTGTTGCAAGAGTTAAAGGCATTTTTTTATACTTTCTTAATAATATTTTTTAATAAACAATTAATTTATTTCGTTTAGACAAAAAAAAAAAATTGACAATGCCCACTAAACTAATAATAAATTTATGTTGAAAAAATATTTTCACTAATTAATTTAGTTGAATTTCATAAATTTGGACATACGAACTTATAATTCACGGGTGAATATTGTTTAGTGTGTTTATTATGTTATAATCAGTTTTTTAAAAATATTAACAACACTTCATTTAATATTTTTTTATTGTCTATGTTTATGAGTAACACATACTTAAATAAAAAAATAAAACCTATACCATTTAATAAATTTTTATAAAATTTAATCAATAATAAAAAAAAATGCATCACTGACATTTTTCTTTCAGGTAAATGTAAAAGAGAGAAAGAAAAATATTTTTGTTTGTCAATACATGGCACGAAATGAACCACACACCCAAAACAATATTTACCAAATGTTTTAAAAGGCATGTAACTGCTAATACATGGCACGCAGTGCGCCACAAACCTAAAACAATAAGATGACCTAAAGCTATACCAAACTCCCGTCTTTTTTTGGGGATTTTAATATTAAACGCAACCAGTCAATTCAAAGGTTGTCCATGTAAATTGGAGATAGAAAACGGTTAAATATTATGTGAACAAAATACACCCCCAACACAACAAATGGATATGTATGCCCCTCTCCGAGATCAGGTTTTTAGGTCGTACATGCGTAGTCTTTAAGTTGCTCCTCTTAAATTATTAATATTTTTAATATTAATATACTAGTGTACTACGATTAATTATTTAATATATATATATATATTATTAATATTATTTATTATATTTTTTTATTAAATTTGTAATACCTAATCGATGAAACTTTAGTAAGAATAATTTTATGATAAATTATACTATTTAATTTTTTTAATAGTTGAGGGAGGTCTCAAATATCATCTAGTGAATTTAGTAACTATTTTTTCTTAAATAAATACACTTTCTTTTCTATGGTTCATTAGAAAAAAAACATTTTTTTTTTACATCAACTTCTATATTTGAAAAAGAATAATGAATGACTTAACAATTTGATGGTAAATACATGGGTCTAACTTAAGTCTTTATTAAATTAATAAAAACATATATTATAAGTTGTATCTTTTGAATTATAGAATTAATAGTGTAATCATTAAATAATTTAACAGGTCCATGATTTGCCAGTCATTTGTTGCCTACCAAATAAACAAACATATCCAATTAAAAAGATTACGAGATTTTTTTAAAAGAGTTTTTTAATCAATTTAATTATCTAAAATTATATATGTTATCGTATTAATTCTTTTAAGAAAATTGATTATAGAATTAATATTTTTCAAATATTTTAATTGCCATCATTTTAGTTTTTTAGAATGGCAACTATTGGACACCATCTTATGTAGTTTATTTTCTATATTCATTTTTGAGATGCAAACTTTGAACCTATGGAACAAAGGACACATAACGTATACACATGCCTATAAATAGTCCGTATCTTTGCCTTGGGCCTCTCGTCACCTACACATAATTAATGCGTTAACTCGATTATTAGTTTGCTCACTACTGCAAACAAGTTTAATTTTTCAAATACAGTCATTCCACTCGCTTGGTTAAACTTCTAACCAGAGATTAATTTTAGGTACAATATGGCAAACTTGGTGTTCTGGTTGTGCCTCATATTCGTCCTTGGCTTAGTTTTATACACTAATTCTGAACCTCTTCCTCCTTTTCCAAGGTTGAAGCAAAATGGCATTGAAACAAAGTTGCCATTCGGGAAAAGGGTTTTTCTTGCAGGTTTAGGAGTCCGGGGTGCCAGAAAGATGGCCCAACAGTGGTCCAATCGACTCAGTCCTTACGGTCCTGATCCAAAGCATCATCGATGAATACCATGGAAAAATCATCATCTTTTGGAGCAGATGGCCCCAACCAATAATCCCAGCATCTTGGAGTAGCTGTGATATCCATGTTAACCATGAATAAGTACTTCTTCCATGTTTTAAAGCTTTTTCATTACCAAAAACAGTTTAATTTGGACGTTTAACATCTCTGACTATCAAAATATGCTATATATAGTTTTGCTTTCTTTTTATATTTAGCTGAAATTCTTAATTTCTTGAAAAAAAAATATAACCCAAGTAAAAGCTTAAACAAATAAATACACTAGGCTATTTACTCAAGACATGCGACGAGTTTTAAGTATTTGATTGACCACATCTAATTTAAGGCTAATACACATAATTGAAATCAAATGGCACCTTCACTTCTCAGTAGTTCCTTTTATTTTTTGAAATGTTGATCTATGTTCTTTGATGTTATAAGAATTCGAAATTGATATATAATTTATATCAACTTTGAGAGGAATTTATATGTTGGTTAGAAAGCTTAGGGAAATGAAAGTTCCATGGTACTAATTGCTCCCACATAATTGAGAAGCAAGAGCAGTGGGCAATAATATCACATCGAATCAGTATCGACTTCCATAACACTCATGTACGTGCGTAGAAGTACCTTTCAAAGCTTTTCAATATGCTAGCGAACCCCACAATTGTCACTAATCACTTGCAAAGCTCTTTGATCGTCTATTTGATGTTTTCAAACCTCCAGCAAGCAGGTGCACAACTTGTTCACCTAATTTAGTGGAGGAGAGCGGTAGAGAGAATAAAATACTTACATTCTATAGACTATAATTCATTTTGATCCTTTGAATTTGATTTTTTGGATATTTTAAATGTTATTGGTTTATTCTTTTCTTACGCTCATTATCCTTTTTCCTAACTTACATGGCAAGTACTGAATCAGAAAACTGTTGTTAATTTTATACAAGATCCACAATTTTTTGAATTATCATATTCTTCGTTATGTTATATGATTTCTTCTGCATTTAATAATCTTTTATATATTTTTTAAAATTTGAAAAATATTATCTCTTTACTTTAGTTTTATTTAATATATTAAAATATTTACTAACAATAATAAAAATATTTAATCTTTATTAAAATTATTATATTCAAATATTGTCATATTAATTTTTAATAAAAATTAATATAATTTAATAATACATGTATCATGCACGAAAAAAAAAACTCACGAATTATCGTTACAATATCACTTAGGTGCCCTATTTGATACATAATTTTTTTTAATAAAAATACATATGTAATAATTTATTACATGCGTTATATTTTCTTTGACAAATTGTTAGCGCTATTTCATTTTCATTTAAAAAAATATAAAATACCTATAAAAACACATATAAGTCTTTTTCATATCATCATATATAGGAAGTTGTTATTAGGAACCATTTTTTGTGATTCAAGCGGTGCATGTTTTATATGACCTATGGTGAAGTCATATCTAGTTATTTACAGTGTTATCGACATTTGACCAAGTCCTCGTGTCTTTTGACCAAAATAAAAATCAAGTCTTCGTGTAATTATTTCAGTCCTTATAACAGCATAACGATGACCTGTGCTGATGATGTTTGGCTCTTTATGCGACATCCGCCATGTATTATTATCAATTTGCAGCTGTTTTTCTACCAAAAAGATTGTTCATATCCTCGGAAACCATAATAAGTGCAGTTCTCTTTCCTGTTACCATTGAGTTTTCAAATATTTTTTCTCATGTCACGGTTTTGAAACATTAGATTTAATTTAAAGGTTCACATATTTTTGGCATAGAGTTTACCTCAATTTTGTTTTAAGTTCTTAAGTTTAGCTTTTAATCCATATAGTTTTACTTTCTTTTCTAGTCTACTGTTTTATTATGTAGGGTATTCTCCAAAACACAGTCAAAGATTACTTTTCAAGGTATAAAAATTAATGAAATGAGATTTATCTCTCCCAATTTTCTTTTCCATACCCATAATAAAATGAACCATGATAAATGCTTGTTAAATAATATTGTTTAAATTTTGATTCCTATTGTTTTCATCCTATTTAATTTTGATCTCTTTAACATACTAAACATTTATCTTCATGGTTCTTTTCTGAAGGTGGTAGAATAAACCAAAACTTAAAAAAGAAAACTATAAAAACTAAAAGTTAAACCTACAAAATTTAAGAACAAAAATAGAAATCAAGATAAATTATGAAAACCAAATATATATTTAACTATTTATAAACTTATGAGCTTTTCCTTTTTAATTCGTTAAATAAAGTACAAGCACGGTCAAACTCAGATAAATGTGATATACTCCACAAAAGGTGTTAATGCAAGTTTTTTCAACATTCTTTAATTATGACTAAAATATTAACTATTTTAATTATTATTTTTTGAATATAATAAAATTATTGTATAATTTTGTAAATGTAGTTTTTAATTAAAAATAATAATTTATCATAAACAGACAGAATGAGCCGTAAATTTTTTTTTTCTTTAATTCTTGTGAAGCAAGTGAAGTTGAAGTTTACGAACTCCACATTCGCCAAAGCTCAATGAGGATAGATATCACTCACTGAGTATGTTTTTCGTTGCTATTGAAGTGCATATACTTAATTTGCTAGTTTCTTATACCAAAAATTTCTAAATGAGCTGTCATATACTATTGTCTGCATGCTCATTTCCTAATGGCTTTATTTCATGGGAATTCTGCGGGGCCTAATATCTATAATTATACAAACGCTTCATACTGGTTTATTTACATTCAAGAACAAAAAAGAAAAATCTGAAATAACAGTAGATACTCCCCCAACTTTTAAAGAAACATCTAATAGTTTCAAACAGAGAAGCATGCACTGATTACCCAACATATTGTTTGTCCACAGAATAGCCACAACAAAAGGATGATCCAACTATTATGAGGTAATGCACTTTATTAACACATCTTTCAATAACGCCAACAGTACAATAACCCCCACAAAATAGATACCCCTTCTGTAATATATGATTTTATTACTACAGAAATGCCTTCAGGGGGTCATTAGGGTCAATATCAGCTATTAGTGGGAGATCAACTGGCATGGATTCTAGACTCAAGCCTTCATCTCTCAGCTTTGCGATAACTTCCTCAAAAACAACTCGATTGCCACTTTGAGTGAGATGCAAACCATCACTGCATTACATTTGCCAAAATCATATATTCAAATAAAAACCAAAGATATAATAATATCACTCTTCGATTTATTATTGTTCAAAGCAAGAAAGACAATAGCAGATAAAGAAATTCAAGTAAACAAAATCATTTATCAGTGTCATCCATGCCGCTGTACAATCTAGGTTCTAGGAAAAAACAAAGCCGAGTTTTTTTTGTAGCTTCAATATAGTAAAACTAAATTTTCAGTAGTCTCTGCTGTTTTAATCAAACCATACTGATCACAGAATGACATTCTTTGCAAACTACCAAATTGGTAATTTTGGCATAACTGGAGCCTCAATTAGGTACACGTAGATATAAATTCGAAAAACCACATCAGCAATGAAAACCTCATTATTCATAAGTTTATATGTTATGCCGTAATGACAATTCAATCCACGTTCAGTTAAATTACAAGACAGCTAACATGTTTGTTAGCATTATAGGATATACAAAGAAGGTAAAAGTTTTCAGAAACCTTAGATGACTTTTTCTCCAGTCAGGGAACTGTTGCATTTTGGTCCAGAGATCAACCACCGGAACTCCACATTCTCCAGCCACAGCAATGCATCCTCTAGCATACTCACCAGCAGCTTCATTTGTCCTTTCAGGAAGACCCTGTGGATTATCTACATACGGGAATCTGCAACAGTTTTTTAGAAGACAACTCCTCAAGTTTAAGCTCCATTGTATAGTATCTCTTAACTCTTATAAATGAAGAAAGTTTAATAGAAGCAGTGAAAATATGACGAACAAAGGGCCAATAAAACAAACCTAAGACGTGCATCATCATCAATTGGAGGAGGTGTTATTAGGAGAACAGGAGTTGTGGGCCATTGCTTCTGCATTTCAAAGGAAAACTTGCAATATATAATTTTAACATTTATATAAGAGGCTTAAATTTAAAACATATTGATATGATTTAAAGAAAAATAAATGAATCCCCTTATTCTCCTCCACTGCAAGACATAGATGTAACGGGCATTGTTTTCATGTTTTTAATATTAAAAGGTACCAGCTTACTCTAATCTACCTGGTGTAGAAAAAACTATATATGGTATCGGAATAGTCAGGGCAGATTTCTTTTGATGCAATTTTGGATCTTGCTTTCTTTGATAGCTTTATCCAAGTGGAAATAATGGGGATAAGGACATAAAAAAATAATGGATAAAAAGAAAGTACATTGGTGTCAGACAAATATAGAAAATGTAACAGAGGTATGTTATATACTATATATGCTAGATCCGGTAAAGCCCAGAAGACAGTAGTGTTTTCATAACAAACCACAACGTCCAAGCTTTGTCTCAAGAATAAAGAGATGATTTACCCTTGAACTTTGCTATACCCCAGATACCTGGATGTCATCCATGAGAAAGAATACCAACTAAACAAAATCAATTCTTCAAATATTATTTATACCAAAATGTAAAACAAATAGACCTTTAAATGTTCACAAACTAAAATTCTAAAAATAAGGAAAAAACACTCCTCCTTAGCTTAGAGATTTACTGATGTAAATCAACTTTGTGACTAAAAGCCCTAAATTCACCCTTATATATTAGTTTAGGACACACAGTAAAGTAATCTTTCAATTAATTTATCTTTAGAAAATAACACTTCACTATTACTATTTAATTTTACATTTTAATTCTTTCAATTCATTATGCATGTATTTTTAATAATTTAAAATTTTTTCTCTTTAAAATTATACATGTTATGCTCTGCCTGAATAAATTACATTTACATGCCTTACAATTAAATTTTCTCTCGAACATTATTTTAAACTTATATTTCTTACGCTTCACTTGGATTTACAACTGTACTATGAGAATACAATGTACTCATTACTTGAATTTAGCTCTTTTAAAATGAGAAAAATTATAAACTAAAAAAGGGTAAAAGTATATCGGTATATCCAGCCTTAATTCTAATTAAACTGCCTTATAAACTAATTCAATTTCAAAACAAAGGTAAATCCATGCTTATTTTTTCAATTTTGCACATGTTAACACTTAAGACTAGTTAAATTACTATCAATTTCTGTCCACATCCTAACAATGGCACCTACTTTTATCTATTTCATCCTTTCTAACTTTTGCTGATGAATATAGTCCATACATTCATTATACACATCTTCCCATTAAATTAAAAAACTCATATAATAGAAGTGTCAACATCCATCAAGCCCGTGGGCCTCACGAGGGTCAATAACCTTCCTCCCGTAATGTTTAAGAAGAGGCACCATTCTTCCACTCCTAAAGTAAAAGTGGGTCTTCCGCGCAATCCTATTCATCTAACAGCAATATTCGACCAGACCGAATAACATAATTGCATGGGAGGCAAAGAAAGACACGAGAAAGAAGACACAAAAAGGTTTAGGTCGTGAAAACAACGGTAGGCTCCCTCCAACTAACACTTCGCAGTTTCCCCCAAAAGAAAGCCAATAAAAAAACGTGAACTCTACACAAACATCTCGTGCAAGCTCCACCTCCCATAGCAAAAGCCCTTTTGACAGCGTCTTATGGTCAAGTGGCAAACAACAACCACAGTACTCCCATAGCCACACCGACTGCACGTGTGTTTATCTGAAACAACTTCTCAATTCTCATTGGGCCCCACTTCTCCAATTCAATTCCTGAAACCCCACAACCGCATTTGACCACCCCAAGACGAAAAAGTCATCATAACACCAAACCCCACCAATCGACACATGATTAACCCTTTCGTGTCATGCAATATACGCAACCAAAGCACGCTTATCAAGCCCACAAGAGTCAAAACTAAAAATATAACCCCCTTTTGTGCCACTCAAAAACAGTGACTGTGACCCTTTTCTGGCTTTCAACACCCTACAACTTTTGCCTAATCATTAAATCTAATAAACACTTGCTGCAACAGAAACAGGTTACCTTGAAGAAGGAAACAATGGAGCGAAGATTCTGCTTGTATTCGTGGAGTGGCACGTGTTGAAAAGCAGAACATCTATCTGGAAGACTAGCGTCGTTAGCCCCAAAGAAAATGGTGACAGCAAGAGGTGCTGCTCCGGTTCCACCGTCACCGCCCAGGGACCCAGGGAAAACCCTATCCAACACCTTGAGCGCCCACCTTGTGTTATACCCACTATACCCTCTTAGCACCACATCAACCTGGTGAACAAAAAGCTTAAAACTTAACCTTAAAATGGTGAAACCCACGAAAGACAAAAACAAAAAGGAAACAAAATGGGAATACCGAGCGAGAGAAATGGTGGGCGAGAGAAGCACCCCATCCTCCAACATCGAAGGAATCCTCGGTGATTGAATCACCAAAGAGAAAGATCTTGGGGCGGGTCATGAGGAGGAAGAGAAGATGAGAGGGGAAATGGGTGAGTGGGAAATGCAGAATCGATTGCGTGTATGCTGCTACGATGTTGATGCATTGGTCATTCTCATTAAATAAAGCTGCAAGTGAGGTTTTGGTGGAAAAAGGCTGCTGATATTTAATTCATTGCATTGCACTAAAAAGGTACGTCCTGACACAGACACTAACAGGGGCGGCGAACGACAGCGACCCAAAGGCCTCCACCACTTCCCATTCTTTTTTTAGCTAAAATAAATCCAATTACCATAAATACATACAATTGTCAAAGAAAGGACAAAATTTATATTCAGGATTACATAATTATGCATATTCTGTATGTTGTTTTTCTAATTTAAATTTATATTTAATTTCAGTAATAAATACTTTTATTTGATAATTAAAATCAAAGTAAACATTCACATATATGAAATATCCAACGTTAATAAATTTATCCTTTTAAATTTTAAACATTAAATCTCTAAATAAATAAATACCAATCAATTTAATTTTGATCGTAAATATTAGTTAAAAGTTATATACCTTAAATAATATTATTTTAAGATCTTCTATAAATAATTAATTTTTTCATTGATAATATTTTTCAACTTTAACATTTTTTTCTTTTTTTCTCATCTTCATTTTTTATGGAAACAGTGTCGTCAATATAATTTATCACTCTTTCCATGATTAAATAAATTCATAGTCTGATTCATTATGCTATCGTTTTATCGACCACATCAATCTTTTTAAAATTAAAATAATATTATTTTATGTTTAGAATAAATTTCACTATGTCGCTATTTTTGTTATCACAATTTAATGTGTTTTTTTTTTACGATAAGTAAAATGCATGACTAACATTTAAATTTTAAAATATAAAAAACTAAGTTGATTGATGCGACGTAGACTAAAGTAAAAGTTTATTTATTAAAATTGATGCCAATTATGAAAATAAAATATTAATTTGTATTGATTTAATGTTGGGTTCCATCTATTTTTTATGATTTATTTTAATAATTTTAAAAATATTTATAAAGTTATTATATTAACATGTTAAAAAAATAAATATAAAAAATTATTAATAAGAAGATATTGTAAGAGGACTCTTTTTAAAATCAAACTCTTCTATGTATTTTTGGGGTCCAACCTTATTCTCCACTTTCACTCAAGCTCAACATAATATCCAACCCAACCCAGTTGAATCGGATTCATATATGTTGGGCTAAGATCGCACCTCGATGGATGTATTGGGCTATGCAAACCATTGGGCCGAACAAATTAATGAATCCGAAAATGGAACTCACTAGGCCCATTCCTTTTGTGAAGAAGTCTAAACCGCTCTCCCCATTCATCTGTAACGCAAGCATCGGCGCACCACCGCACACGCTTCCCCCGAGAAGGTTCATTCTAACCATCACTGCTCAATTCATATACACATTTTTAATTAAATTTCAATGTATATCTAAATTTAGCTCAATTCCACAATCCTATCCTAACAAATACTCGTAATTCTCTTCACAGATGCTCGCAAAAACGAGGAAGGTTTCAGGGCGCGGCGAAGGCGTTGCAGCAAACTATGCATTTGGTCCTGCCGAAGATGATATAATCATCAAACACAGGCTTCTCACACGAGCCACAACCACTAGAGGTGAACCTCCATTGAAAAAGCTTCAGAAGAAGTTCACCTCCTTCGCCTCCGAGGTCGACAAGGACGAAGATAACTACAACGACTGTGAAAAACTCGCCAGGGCCTTTTTGCAGGAATTGACCACTTTCGAGATTCCACTTCTCAAGAGCAAGGCAATTGTTGAGGCAAACATTAGAGAGAAAGAGAATTTCACTGAATTGAAAGATGAAATGAATCGGAAGATCTTGCAGGCACAGGCTGATATTGAAGATCTCAAGAAGCAGCTTGAAGAGAGTAAGGTTGAGAGACGGCATAAGGAGGAGTGTGAGGCTATTAGGAAGCTGATTGCACTGCAACCGCCGAGGTCGGAGACGCAGAAGCTTATATCGGAGTTGGAGAAAGAGATTGCGGCGTTAGATGCCGAGAACACGGCTGGTTCCAGATTGTTGGAGCTTCGGAAGAAGCAGTTTGCTCTTTTGTTGCACGTGGTATGTGGCTGTTTGCTTAATGCTGTGACTTGTGTGGTTTTTTGTGTTCTTTTGCTTTTCTGATATATACAATGTGGGAATTTAATCTGCAGTTCAGTTCTGTTTTACTGTTAGCTTTGTATCTATATGTTATGCCTCACTGTTCAGATTGTGCTGATGTTTGTATCTGTTAAATTAGGTCTAGAAATTGCAACCACTTTTATGAATTATATAGCACCTTTATTGTGAGTAGAGATCATGGTGCTATTGCTAAAATAACACATGGTGTATCACCCACTATTTTGAGCACAGGGCACATTATAAAATATATCTGTTATTTGATTATGATCAAATGACACCAATATTGGGATGGAACCAATGTCTAAGAAAACCTAAACTCACACCGAAAATTTAACTGTCTTGTACAATTCCATTGAAATTAACCTCTAAACACAACGTCATCTACTTACAAATGATATGTTAAAAATTACATGCTATTCTTTGAAATGGTAGGGGGCATGTATAGGTGAAGCTCTTCTAGGTTGCGTCTGGGTATTTTTAGAAGTGGAATTCATCCTCCACGTGAATAGCCTGAGTCAAAAAGAGAGAATGGAGAAGCAAAGAAGTGAAGAGAAAATGAAGAAACAAAGAATGCAAAAACAGATATAGAGAACATTAAACAGAAAAATAAACAAAGAATGTGGGGTTAAGAAGTTTATATGCCCTTGAGCTCACCACTAAGACATGTATACAAAAAAGGAGGTCTGAAATGAGAAAGAACGGAGCTGACACTAATTTTGATGCCAGTATGGACTGAATTTGGAGTGGATGGTTGGGGAAAGACAAATGAGTAGTTATGATGTAAATGAACTGCTGGCAACATAAGAGTGGAGAAGGAACCGTTGAGAAGGATTTGTCAGAGAAGGAGGGAAGGTATAAGGTGGGGAACTTAGTGAAGATAGGCAATCATTACGTAAAGTTAAGAAGAGAGAGTTTTGGTGGTAGTATTCCTTGGTTTCAGGGAAACCATTGTGTCTTTCTGTTGGAATTATATTTTGTTTTACTGTTTTCTACCGTTTTCTGCATTTGAATTTCTATAAACCAGAGGACATCCCCTGCATTATTAGTTGATTTCCAGTTTGTAACAGAAGTAAAGTTTATGGCACATTAGTCTGAAGACTAAAACGTGGAAGTCATGTGTGTCTAAATTTAGAAAAAGAAATGGATGCAAGAGGTATAAGGTTTGAAACACATGTCGAAGGGGTAATTTAAATTTATAAAACAGTATTTCAGGGTTATTTAATTGTGGCATGCAGCTTTTAAATTGGTGAATGGCATGAAAACTGTCTAATAATGTATTTATATTAGTAGGTCTGGACTGGAACAAGTTATTGTAACTTTTTATTTTATCACTTAAAATGGTTATGCAATTTATGAGGTTGTTGTCAAATAATATTGTGTGATAATTAAATTCATCATTCTGCTGTATTTTCTCTTTTGAGGTTTTTACTCAAGACTTCAGTGTGAATGATGCCTTTTAATTCCCTAATTTCCCTTGGTAAGAAATTGTAACCACTCATTTTTCTCCAAAATTGATGCGAATGTAACATTATGAAAAGAGTTTCATTCCCTCATTCTCAACCTTGATATAATTCAGTTATTGACCATTCCCGTTTCTTTTCTTTTGACTTGTCAAATGAAGGATTGTACCTCTGTTATGCTAACCTTTGTTGGCAGTGCAAACTGAGACATTTATATGTAACTTGCTTGAGTCAATAGTGCTTCAGCAAGGCACTTTGGTTCAAGGATTTCACAATAAGTTGATGTATATTTTCTATTTAGCTTTTTTTCCCATGTGACCATGTCTCATGAATTTTGTTCCTCCACTATGTTGTGTGTTTCATTGCCTATCTTATGAACTATAAGCATCATGAATCCAAAATTCGGACAGCTGACATCTTTTATTGTGTCAATGTTAGCTGTTGATGTAAACATATATTTTGTTTCGTGTCCTTCCTGCAGGTGGATGAGTTGCAGAACACAATAGAGGAAGAGCAAAAGAGTCTAGTTGAGGAGATGAGAATGGCAACTGAGGAACTTAAGAATGGGATGGAGGATACAAGTGGGGGAACGGAAGCAATGGCAATTGACCAGTAACTGGATTGAACATCAGCTTGCCTGTTGTAATATCTAATACACTTCAATCATGGTTTGTTATCCTACAGTGACTAGGGACCATATGTAAATGAAATATCAGTATTATTATGCTAGTGCTTAGACCTTAGTAACTTTTTGATTGGAATTTTCTATGAAATTTTGTCTGACCATACGCTCAATATTGTGGGACTCTCCCCTATATTTTTCTTTTGATCGTATTTTTACAAAACAATGTAATGCACTCACGGACGATATTTGTATGGTGTACAAGTACAACTAACAAAACCATACGGATCGGGGTATGACAATTTTTAAAAACAAAAATGTAATTATAGTAGGTATATAATGAAATATTAATAATTTGTTTTTGTATGTTTATAATTATACATGTATATAATGTTATTTCATTTTAATAAAAATGCCATCTTAAAGTACAACTTCAAACAAAGCCTGTTCGCTCCAAATTGTTCATCATAAACTTCAGATTGACAATAAACACTCAATTCTATTTTTGCAAATTTCATTCCATTAAAATTAATTTTACAGGATTAATTGTGAATTTTATTTTAAAAATATTTTATATAAATAATCTAGACAGTATAAATTGATTTATTTTAAATTTAATATATATATATATATATAATAACAAAAAATCCTTTTTTCTTTCTTGTAAATCAAATAACTAGTCCTCTCCTTTAAAATCCCTTTGCTCTTTTTCTTTTTCTTTCTATTAATTTTTTTTCCATTTTTCTCTTCTTACCAAACATTGTTTCAAAAATAAAAACTACTAAAAAAATTATATTTCTGTGATTTTGTGAAACGCCTATTTGTTTATGCCCCAAAAAAATAGTTGCATATATGTTAGGAATTCAGTAAGATTATTGTTTAGTGGTAATGAAGTTTTGGGGGGGCGGGGGAAGCCTTTTTCCAGCTATTTTTGCACAAAAATTAGTTTTGAAATAAGAATGGAATTTGTAAAAGAAAAATTCAAACAAAATAATTAAATGTAAATATTTGATTGAAGTGTTAATGATCATTTACATACATATTTATGACCAAATAATTTGAATACATCAACATTACACATTTATTATATTTGGTGAGATAAAAAGGAACTTTGATATATTGAAGGTGATAAATCGTATCAAGTCTTGTCATTTTAGTTTTTTACGTAACATATAGAAAAAGAAGCACACATTCCTTTTGGGATCCAAATCCTCTGCAGTTTTGGAAAGAACCGCAGCTTGCAGTTTAAATTCGCTTAAGCGAATTTAGTAAAAAGTAATTTTCACTTAAGTCAAAAAATTGGCTTAAGTCAAAATTACAAAAAATTTCAAAACTTCATATTCTTTCTCTTTAAACTACAGAAAAGTTGATAAACATTTGTGCAAGATCATGTGGTCACACTTTAATGGTCATGCACAAAAAACTTAAGTGTTTCAAAATATGTAATAAATAACTATTTCTCAACAAATTTTTTGAAGTTATCATTCTTATAATTCTTATCATCATTCTCAACAATTTAACTTGATTCCAAATGGTTCAACCTCACCAATGTTTAGCACAAGTAGCACACTAGACAATATATATTGGAAACATTTGTGCAAGATCACGTGGTTACACTTTATGGTCATACCACAAAAACTTAAGTTTTTCAAAACATGTAATAATGCAACTATTTCTCAACCAATTTTTCAAAATTATCATTTCTATAATCCTTATCATCATTCTTAACAATTCAACTTGATTTCAAATGGTTCTACCTCACTAATGTTTAGTACAAGTAGCATACTAGACAATACATTTAGAATATTTGGTGGGATGAAATATGTAATAGTTTTTAGTAACTAGGTAGTCATTGATGAGAAACAAAAGTTTTTCAAACTTTTGCAATTTAGAGAGGAAGAAGATGAAGTTTTGAAATTTTTTGCAATTTTGGCTTAAGCTAATTTTTTTAACTTAAGCGAAAATCACTTTTTGACTAAATTTGCTTAAGCGAATTATTTTGGCTTAAGCCAAAATCACTAATAAACCACTCATTTTTGTGCAATTCTTCTAAGGATATGATATTGTTTTTCTACCAAAGGTGTTGTTTCAACCTCGATTCAAGAAAACTCTTTTCATATGGAATAGCTAAGATGACAATTCGCTTTCTTAAAAATATATGAGGTTGATGTATCCTAAGTGTTTGCTTCTTCTTCATATATGTCATTTTATTATATTTCTTATTTACTCATGTACTCCTTTTTTGTTGGGCTAATCTACTACATGCTAAGTTATTGGGTTAAATTCTAGTCCAAACATCTAGAGATTTGTTTTATTGGATCTTGATCAAACTATTACCCCCTTGTATTTTAAAAAATAATAATTTATCTTTACCTTTGTTTATTTTTTGAAATATAATCTCTTTCATTCATAATCTACCAAATGTTTCATTAATCTTTTCCAACTATGTTAATAAATGTCATTTTTTTCCTTTTCACCATATCACTTCTCTTTATTTAATAGCTCCCTAGGATTATTCTTCTTCTCCACTCTTCTTTTTCTTTGTATCATACATCTTTGTCTTTCCTTCATTTGGAGCTTTCTCCAAAGATATGCTACTTCTGAATCAAATTCTAGTAGCTCTTTAACCAATATGATTTCTCACTCTATGGTTACCCTAGTTGTCCATTCCTTGTTCTCAGTAACAAACATTTCAGGACAATGGGTTTTTTATGTCTTCTTCCTTGAGTATGACTTTGACCTTGCTTGTTCTTTGAATGACAAGGCCAATAGACAATCTAGATTAAATAAATATTTTCTTATAATCCTAATTTTGTTGGCATCTTAGGATAAGTGGGTATCACACATGCTATCAGGATGTCTCTTTTTATCTTATATTGATAAATTAAAAGCTAAACAAGAATTCATTTGCTTGGAACATGCTCGTCTTTTTATTGAAATAGAGAAATAAAAGAGAAATTTTTCCAAATATAATGTTATATTTACATTTTAATCCAAAATTATAATTATTTTGAAATGGTTAATGACTTTGAATGATGTTCTTGTGGCATGCATTTTTGTGGTGTAGTGATGTCGTTTTGGCTTTTTGTGATGTTTCAGAGTAATACTACTCTTGCGACTTATTTTTGTGATATAGTAATACCTTTGTAGCTTTTGGTGATGTTGCTATTGTGGCATGTATTCTTGTGATATAATGATGCTCTTGTGACTTTCGGTGATATTTTATAATGATGTCCGTTAATAAAAGCAATAAGGACATCTCTAGTGGTCGTTTCGTGCACAGTTTCTTAAAATGAGATACGAAGCATTGTGTTTCTTAACCGTTAAAGCAATCTGACGTGACATTTGTGGTTTCTTCAACAAAAGATGAGTTTTTAATATAAGGAACGATTTCTTCTCCCGTGCAATCTCATCTCCATGGCGACACCTCTGTCTGCTGTGCCCAACTCTTCTGAGAAAAGCCGACGATTCTCGTCAGAGCTTCTGAGAATTTCCTCCGATCGTCGTGGAGCGTAGAAGTTGTCGTTGTGCCCTAGGGATTAATGATCAAAATTTGAGTCCAATTTTACTTTCCAAATGAATTTTCCGTGTAGGGGATTTGGTACAGGGCATGGGTTGCGTAGAAGTTACCGTTTGGTTTCTAATTTTATGAACATTCAGAAGCGACAACATTTGGTTTCATTTTTTTACCCATTGGCTTCTATTTGTAGAATTTACCATTCACTGATTTAGCTATAAAATTTTGTTACTTCCTGTAGCAATATACACCACCATTTGTGCTATTTGAGTATTTCTTTCAAGCTATTTCAATTTGTACTCTTCAAAATGGATCCCAATCAATTTTTTTTTAAAGCTATTTCAATTTTTTGCAAAATGACTCATTACCTATTAGTGAAAATTCTCAAAATGCTCCAAATCTTCAACATTTTCTATATCCACCATATCCAATCAACCAAACAATTCTCAAAACCCACAATTTTTTATGTGTCCACCATCTCCAACCAACCCAAACATGTATTATAGGTCTTTTTTACCGAATGGTCATCCTCCTCTGAATGAAGTTGAATCACCAATTGGTCTAGACAATATTCAATCAGATGAAGGAGAAGAAATTTTAACTCAAAAAAAATCTCGCATAGTATTTTCAATGAAAGAAGATGTGATTCTTATCTGATTGTGGCTCAATGTGTCAAAGGATTCAGTTGTAGGAGTCGACCAATCATTTAGCCAATATTGGGCAAGAATAAAGGAAGCATATAACAACAATGAAGAGTGCAAAATTTTTTCTGAAAGGGAAGTCACTTAATTGAAATCTAAGTGGAATCATATCCACCCTCCAGTTGAAAAATTTAATATTGTGAAAAACGCAAAGACCATGAAAAATATTGTGACTATATTAGGAACAAATGTTATGTAAAAGTAGCCGTAAGAAAAGTAGCCGTTTGAAAATGAAGGTATATATAGTACCCAATGTTGCTCATTCTCACATTTCTCACACAAATTTCCTTTGTATTCTTATTTGATATTTAGATAGAAACGTAATGGATGGAAACATCAATTTAGATAATTCAAAAATTGATTTAGATGATATTTTGGATCAATAGGTCATGAACGATTGTTCAATGACTCTTTCTCTAAAAATTCAGTATACACAGACACTTAGTTCCAAAGAAGATTCAAAGGCATGTGTTTCTTTGAGTTTTAGATGCCTTGAGCAATCATGATGAATACTTTTAAATGAGGGTTGATGCAACACGTAAAAAGAGTCTATCATTATTGCAAAAGTGCACAACTGCTCTTCGTATGTTGGCTTATGAGACACCAGCTAACTTTGTGGATGAGTATATTCAAATTAGTGAAAGCACTGCAGTGAAATGCTTACAAAAATTCGTGAAAGGAGTTTGTGAAATATTTGGAGAGTATCTGAGACGCCCTAATAATAAAGATATTGAATGACTACTACGAATCAGAGTGACTCGTGGGTTTTCCATAATGCTAGGTTCAATTGAAATTATGTATTGGGAGTGGAAGAATTGTCTAGTTGTATGGAAAGGTCAATTTTGTCAAGGTGATCATGCCAACCCAACAATCATTCTTGAAGCTATCACCTCACAAGACTTGTGAATTTGGCATACATTTTTTGGCACTGCAGATTTGAATAATGACATTACTATGTTGAATGCATCTAATGTATTTAATGAAGTTTTTTTAGGAACTACTTTGAAAGTGCAAAACATAGTGA